CGAACGCCCTTGTGCGCTCAACGTTTCTGAAGGTCGCCTTGGGTGCTACGAAATGCACCAACGTCACACGCCGATACGTTGAGGAGCGGTGCGAGTGTGCGGGGCAAGACCCCCAATGCCCCTACTGCGGTGGCACGGGCAAGGTTATGAGTACCACCAAGCAGATAGTGATGGAGACGGAGACTTCCTATCCGCCGAACCTCACCGCCCTTGCTCAGTGGCTACACCACCACGACCCCGAATGGGTCAAGGCTGAGAACGGGGCGGTTGAGGAGACCGAGGCGGTGATTGTCGGCGGCGACATCAAGCACGGCATCGACATTGACCAATGGATAGGCGCTCAGTGTATGGACAAGGAACTCAGCAAGAAGGCACTCTCCCTACACGCCGAGGATGCCGAGGAGGTGACTGACACCGACACCGACAACGACAAGGGCAACAACGGCGACGGCGACGGGGCGGACAATCCCGATGACGGCGCAACGACAGAAAACACAGAAAACACAGAAACAGACACGCAACAATAAAGATGATACAACTCAGCGACGTTTACAATCCGATGTTCCTTGAAAAGGACAAGACGATAATACTGATAACGGGGGGTAGAGGATGTGAGAAACCGACACAGGAGGTGATAATGTCCGACCTTTCCGTAAAGATGATTAAAGATGTCAGGGTCGGTGAGAGCCTGATGGGGGATGATTTTACCCCAAGGCGTGTACTTGCTACACACTCAGGACGCAGTGCCATGTTCCATATCCGACAGACAAGCGGAGAGGATTATATGGTGAATGACGGACATATACTCACCCTAAAGAAGAGTAAAAGCGCAATACGGGAGGGTAGATATGCGGAATATCCCGAGATTACCGACATCAAGGTAACAGACCTTGTCGGCAAGAGCAGGAAGTTCAAGGAGCATTTCAGAGGCTTCAAGGCTGGAAGTATTCCGTATAAGCATACTGATTGCCCCATAGAGCCTTATTTTCTTGGTTTATGGCTCGGTGATGGCACATCCATAAACACGCAGATAACCACACCCGACAAGGAGATTGTGGATTATATAGGCGATTATGCGGAAAGGCTCGGACTGAACCTCACCATAAACGGAGAACGTGGGCAGGCAAGGACTTACAGGCTGTCAAGACGGGAGGGCAAACTGAACCCGCTGCTTGAGGAAATGAAGAAACTCGGCATAGTCGCAAACAAGCATATACCGCAGTCCTATATATCCAACAGCGAGTCGGTGCGCCTTGAACTGCTTGCCGGAGTGCTTGACACAGACGGGAATATGCACATGAACGGTTACGAGATAACCCAAAAGAGCGAGAGGCTCGCACGGCAAATCAAGTTCGTTGCCGACAGCCTCGGTTTCCGCACTTCCATTAACGCCAAGGAGCATGTAAGATGCTCGGGCAAGGATTGCGGCACTTATTGGCGTGTGATGATTAACGGCGACGTTTGGCGCATTCCGTGCCGTATCGCGCGAAAAAAGGTTACAGCCGATATGTGCCACAAGAACAAGGACTGGAGATTGTCGCAGATTGAGATAGAGTCGGCAGGAGAAGGAGAATGGGTGGGTGTGACCCTTGACGGAAACCAAAGATACCTTCATTCGGACGGCACAGTCACCCACAACAGCGGAAAGTCATACGCCACGGGTACTTTCATTGAGCGCCTCACCTTTGAGAGCAAGCCGAAGACGGACAACCCCTCGGAGTTGGCGAGCCACGTCATTCTGTACACCCGTTACACTATGGTCTCGGCGGCGATTTCGGTAATTCCCGAGTTCACCGAGAAGATAGACCTTGACGGCACGACCAAATACTTCAACGCCACGAAGGGCGACATTGAGAACACCCTAACGGGCGGGCGCATCCTCTTTCGTGGTATCAGAACCTCCTCGGGCAATCAGACGGCGAAACTCAAATCCATCCACGGAATAACGACCTTTGTCGTTGACGAGGCGGAGGAGTGGACATCGGAGGCAGAGTTCGACACCATCATGCTCTCAATCCGTCAGAAGGATATGCACAACCGCATAATAATAATAATGAACCCGACAGACTCAAACCATTTCGTCTATCGGAAATTCATTAAGGACACGCACAAAATGGTGGACTACGACGGCGTACCCGTTCAGATTTCAACGCATCCCAACGTCTTGCATATCCACACGACATACCTTGACAACAAGGCGAACCTCTCCCCTCAGTTCCTTGAGAGATTGGCAGAATGAAGACCGACAACCCCGAGAAGTACGCCCATATCGTGATGGGTCAGTGGGCGGACGTGTCGGAGGGCGCAATATTCAAGAATTGGGGCATTGTTGACGAGTTCCCCGAATACGCCCGACATATCGCCGTAGGGGTGGATTTCGGGTACAGCAACGATTGCACTGCCATCTGCCGTTGCGGTATCGTTGATAACCGCCTTTATATAGAGGAGTGCTGTTACAAGACCCATATGCTGATAGAGTACTCTGCGTTGATACCACTGCTTTTCGGGCGCATCAAGGTCATAGCCGACAGCGCCGACCCCCGTCTTATCCAAGAGATATTCAATGCGGGCATCCTCATTTATCCCGTACAGAAAGGCGGAGGCTCAATTATGGCGGGAATTGAGAAAATGAAGGATATGGAGTTGTTTGTCACGAAAAACTCCGTAAATTTGCAGAACGAACTGAGAAACTACGTATGGGACAAGGACAAGGACGGGAACTACATAAACTACCCCGTGGATAGGGACAACCACTGCTTCACCGCCGACACTCTTGTTATGACCGACAAAGGCGAGAAACCGATAGCGGACATAAAGATAGGGGACAAGGTGCTAACATCGGATGGTTTCCGCCAAGTGACCCGCTTTTTCGCCAACGGATGCAAAAAAATATTGCGTGTTCGGCTGAAACTCTCTAATTTTATGGTCGAAATCAAGGGTACGCCCGACCATAAAGTCAAGACCTCGGACGGGTGGAAGGAATTGCAACACATACAAGCACGGGACATATTGTTTCGGTGCGAGTCCTCGGCGGCGACCCCGTGCGAGGTTCTGTCGGTCGAAACTCTGACGGGACTTTCAGCGGAGGTGTTCGACATTGAGGTGGCAGAAATGCACGAGTTCTTCGCAAACGGAATACTTGTTCATAACTGCATTGACTCCGCTCGCTATTATGTGTTGGGCGAGTTGCTTGGACGCATCGTCAAGCCTTTGAACACACGAAACAAGACGTTCGACATATTCTAACAAACGCAAACTAACAGACCCGAAAAAATGGCACTTTTGGAATATATACGAGAGATAATCTCGCAATACCGCAACAAGTCGCTTGTTCAGAGCGACGTTGAGAGTACTCTGCGTTGATACCACTGCTTTCCGAATTGAGAACGGCGACATTGACGCCGCCTTGGAGTTGTTTCAGAACCGCTCGGACGAGGTGACCGAGGCTATCAAGGAATACAACCCCCATCACCCACGCCATAATGAGCAGACCGAACAAGCCTCGCAAGGGACAACGCCCCATACATCACCGAGAAACTTGCCCGAACCCGTCAGAAGTACATCAACGAGGTGGGAGTTGTTTTTCATTTTCGGCAAACCCGTCACCTTCTCAAAGGTCAGCGGCGACGACACCGCATACGACCTCTTCACCGCCTTTCTGAAATCCTCACCGCTTTGACTCAAAGATGAGGCAGATTAAAAGGCCTCGCCGGGTCTGAAACGGAATGCGCCAAACTCTACCACCTATACAACGACGGGGGCAAAATCGGGGTCAAGACGGTGGTCTTGGCTCGCTCAACGGGCTACGACATCCGCCCCCCTTTTTAACCAATACGGCGACCTTGTGGCGTTCGCATACGGCTACAAGACAAAGTTCGGGGCAAAGGCATACCGACAGCATTGGAACATAGAGACCCCCCCGTACAATCTACGAGGCTGACGAGGAGAAACGGCGTTTGGCACATCGCCGACAGACCGAACCCCACGGGGCGCATAAACGTCATTTATTACCGACAACCCAAGGCGTGGGACGGCGTTCAGTCACGAATAGAGCGAGAGGAAATGCTTGACTCAAAGAAAGCCGACACCAACAACTACTTCGCCGACCCCCGTTGCAAAGGCTTCCGCCGATGTCATTGAGTCCCTCGCATCACCCCGAAACCACGGGCAAACTCATAGAGATGCACGGCTCGCAGTCCGTCTTCGACTACGTTCAGCCTCCCCAATCGTCGGAACTCAGACGGGACGAGCAGGAGAACCTTGAGAAGTCCATTCTATTCGACACGTTCACCCCCGATTTCAGTTTCGACAATATGCGGGGTATGGGTACGGTCAGTGGAAGCGCCATAAAGAACTCAATGATTTTGGGATTTCTCAAAGCCGACAATCGCAAGGAGATTTATTCCGAACTCATAGACCGTGACATCAACCTAATGAAAGCCATCCTCGGCTATCAGAACTCGCACCTTCAGAAGGCGTTCGACGAGTTGGACATATCATTTGAGTATTCCGAGCCGTTCAGCGTTGACGAGAACGACCAAAAGCGCTTTATAATGGACGTACACGGGGCGGGGACTCATATCCACCGAGACCGCCGTCGCACTTATGGCACTTACTCCCCAAACCCGCCGACGAGTTGCAGGCAATCAAGAAGGAAAAGGCGGACGATGCGGAGCGTCAGATGCAGCAGCAGATGCAACAGCAACTTCTGAAACAACCGAACACCACCACGGGAGGCGCAAATTCGGGGCAGGAGGCAAGCCGACAGACACCGCCCGAGCAACAGACCAACCCGAGTGCGGAAACGCCCGAAATGACGGACAAATCGGGCGTAAGACATTATTTTTTTTTCGCTTGTGCTGTTTTTTTTATGTGTTTTTAGCGCGTCAGAGCGTGAGTTTTGACCGCTTTTTTTTGTATAAAAATTTTGTTTGTAGCATTTTTATTCCTTATATTTGTGCCGTTAAACATTTTTTAACTTTAATTAACTCTTATTAACAATGGAAGAGAAACTTTTCAATGCCTTAAAAACAAGGTATGCATCCTTGGGTTTGGGCGACACAATCCTTGAGGCGGAAGCCGTATCGCTGAACAAGAGTGGGCTCGTCACCGACGAGAACATTGACGCAGTGGTCGCTTCCCGTGAGACAGCGTTGAAGGCTATGCAGAGCGGTCTTGACAAACGTGCGTCCGACGCAACAGACGGTGCAAACAAGAAAGCGAAGACACAAGCCGAGGAACTCAATGCGGAAATCGAAAGACTGAAGGCAGAGGCTGACAAAGGCAAGGCTACAGCGGCGGAGTTGGAGAAACTCAAAGCGGAACTTGAGGCAAGCAAGGCGGATGCGGCGGCTACAATCGCCGATTACGACAAGTTGAAGACCGCACTTGACAAGTTGCACAAGAAGGCGACAACCGCAAGCAAGGCGGCGACAGACGCAACAAAGGGCGCACAGCCAAGCGGTGCTCAGAGCACACCACCATCCACACCACCAAGCAACGGCGGAAACGGCGGTAAGAAATCAGCCACAATAGCCGACGACGACGAGGACGACGACGTGAAGAAGTTCGACGTTGATGCGTTCAGAACATCCCTCACATCAGAGTTCACAAAAAGCATTGAGGCGCTTAAAGCGGAAAGCGTAAAGTCACTTGAGGCAATGAAAGCCGAAAGCGACAAGGTGCAGGCGAGCCTCTTGGAGCAGAACAAGGCTCTTTCTGAGAAATTGGCGCAGTTTGAGGCTGAGAAGGCAAAGGCTGACGCAGACAAGGCGGCGGCGGAGCGTCAGGCGTTCATTGCGAACACCGCAAAATCCCTCGGCATTCCCGAGTGGCGCTCAAGCGAGGGCTTCGTGATTGCGGACACCGCAACAAACGACGACATCACCGCATACCTTGGCAAAATCGCCGACAACTTGAAGGCTAACCAACTGCCAACAAGCGGAGTTAAGAACGGAATGGGTAACAACACCACATCCGCCAAGTTCGACGACAAGAAGTTGGCTGAAATGGCGGCTAACATCGTTTCACATTCAAATTTCTAACGGAAAATGATTGAACTGACTAAGACACAGACCACCTACGGCACTAACTTGGACGACGTAATCATCCAAAAGTTCATTGCCGACATTCCCGGCGGTCGTGAGATTGACTTCACGGGTTACGAGAACAAGGTGAACCCAAGCACAATCCCCGCCGGACACGTTATCATCGCAAAGGACGGGAACTACCGCCCACATCCCGTGAGCGTCGCCGAGTCCGAGGGTACAACCACCGTGACATACGGCACAATCACAGAGGGCTACACTATCGCTGGCGTTCTGTACCGCACCGTGACCAAGGACGAGCCTTCGGGTTCCGTACTCATTGACGGCGTTGTGAACGAGGCGGCGGTTTCGACCCCCTACACCGCCGACATCAAGAAGGCGCTTGCGGCAATCGGCATCAAGTTCGTCAAGGACGAGAATCCCGTAAAGACCGCATAAGCCACGGCGTGACAGATTAACGGAATGTAGAACAAAAACCAATTAAAAAACCAACAGAAATGGAGAAATCACTTTACAGCGATATTCTCAAGGACAACTTCCCCACCCTCGTCTTGGCGATTGTGGAGAAGTTGAACGAGAGAACACAGACCGACCTGCCTTATCTCTACAAGCAGGTGCTCACCCCCGAGTATTCCATTGACGGCAGATGGTCTTCAATCCTTGCGAACCATCAGCAACTCACCGCGGACGTCGTTTCGCTTGACTCATCACTGCCAATCAAGAGCCGTGAGGCTATTGAGGTAGTGACAGGTACAATTCCGAAGATGGGCGTAAAGCGTGGCTTGACCGAGAAGCAGGTCAAGGACATCAACAGCCTCATCGCTCAGAATGCCGACATCAACCTCATCGTATCGCAGATTTTCGTGGATGCGCCTTGGGTTATCCGTGCAATTTGGGAGTCCATCGAATATATGCTCCAGCAGGAAATGAGTACGGGCGTCGCCCTCTCGCCAAACGGCACGGGCACAGGCGTTCGTCTTGACTTGAAGTTCAGAACCGAGAACAAGTTCGGCGTTCCCGTGGTTTGGTCGGGCAACAAGGACACCGCAACACCGCTTGACGACATTCAGAGAGTGGTGGACAAGGCGGACGGAGACCAAAACACCATCACCGATATGTACGTGGACGACATTTGGCTCAAGAACTTCTACGCAAGCAAGCAGGTTCGTGACCAGTACGCCTTCAATATGGGCATCGCCACCAACGGCGGAAACGTTCCCGTACTTGACGAGGAGAAGGCGGCGGATGTGATAAGACGCAAGTGGGGCATCACCCTTCATCGTGTCAACCGCAAGTTCAAGCACGAAATCAACGGCACACGAACCAACAGCAAGGCGTGGAAAGAGGGCGTGGCTTGCTTTGTCTGCGAGTCCATCATCGGTCGCCTCGTTTGGACAGACCTCGTTGAGTCTATGAACCCCGTTCCGGGCGTTATGTATCAGAGTGTTGACCAATTCATTCTCGTTTCTCAGTATTCGGAGAATGACCCTTGGCAGGAGTTCACCACCTCGCAGGCTATCTGCGTTCCCGTGCTGAACAACACCGACAGAATCTATCTGCTTGACACCACAGTGGTTCAGGCTTAGTGAAAGGGGAGGTGACTATGAACGGAACAAAAATCAGAATCACCGCCCCCTTCCGTGACATTGACAACTTCGACCACGTCTTCGGCGAGGGCGAAGTTGTTTCTGTTTCGGATGCAAGGGCGAAGCAACTTGTAAGCCTCAGACTTGCGGAACTTGTCGGCGACGGCAAGCCTCAGACAGACGGAGCAAAGGACACCGCCAAGGTCAAGGGTGCGGACACCGCAAAGACCAAGACCGAGGAGGCTCCCGAACTCAACTTCGGCGACGCTGACGCAAAGGACACCGCAAAGGCTGACAAGCGCAAGCGATAGCAAATCCATTGTTTTCAATAAAAGTTGTTTGACTCGTTAAAGTTTGTTTATTTTCTGAAATGACGGTACGGGACTTTCTGAGCGTAAGGCTCCAGCGCTTCGGCGACGTGGAATATTGGCTGTCCGAATATGAGATGCGCATCGGTGCGGACACCGGGGCGGGTCTTGACGACACTATGACCCCCGAGGTCGAACCCGTGGTGGGCAGAACGCTCGTCGGGGTCTTGGCGGAACTGATTCTCGCCCCCAAGCAGAAATCGGTATCCGAGAGCGGTTTCTCCGTTTCGTGGGACTTCGACAGCCTCGTCCGTTATTACCTTTGGCTTTGCAGAAAATACGGAATAACACCCGAGCCCGAGATAACCGAGATGACGTCGGTCATCCGTGACGCATCGGACAAGTGGTAGCCGAAAGACAGACCGAACACAAGCGGGCAACAACCGACGGAGAAAACAACACAGACACACAAACACCAACCAAACCGACAAAAGCAAGGGCAATGGCTTACTTCACACCCCACAGACTGCAAGTCCTACGGGTCAGCGCCCCGACGTTCGACGATTACGGCATCGCACGATTCCCCGACGGGGAGGAGGGCGGCGAGGTATGGGAGGACGTCGGCGTTTGCCGTTGCGACGAGCAGACCCAATCGGAGATTACAGACCCGAACGGCGTCCTTTTCCGCCCGACGTACCACATCGTGGCGGAGGCGAAGGCGGCGCTAAGGGTCAGAAACGGCGACAAGGTGCGGGCGGTCAGAAAGGACGGCTCGGTTAGGGGCGAGGGGGTCGTGAAGACGACCAAGAGCCTCAACTACCTCAACTATTCCGAGTTCTATCTGTAACCCCCGAGAACCACCAAGTCAACCAATCCAATACAAACCAACCGACAGACCGACGACACGATGGCAAAGAGAAATGGCGAACTCGCCGACATAATCAAGGGGCTGAGGAAAGCCATAGACCGACGCATTGACGAAATCGGACGGGAGGCGGTGGAGGTCGCACGGCAGAACGGCACGTATCACGACGTGACGGGACGGCTCAGACGCTCAACGGAGTACAAAGCCGACGACACCGGGCTGACAATCTACAACACCGCACCATACGCCGACGAGGTGAGCGCAAGGGGTCACGACGTAATTGACTCCGCCACAGCCTACGCACGGGAGGAATTGGAGCGGATGGACATCGCAAAGTTGGCGGACAAAGCCGACGGATAGCCTCCACAAGCCGACAAGCAACCACGAACACGAACACAACACAAACGCAAACGGACAACCATTATGCTCACCACATCAGAAATGGCGGGACTCATCTGCCTCAGATGCAAGGAACTCGGCATCCCCGAGGTCTATCAGACGGACAACCTCCCCGACACGGGCGAGATTGCCGCCGAGCGTGTGGTGGTCATACCCAAGGGCGAGAGCGACGGCACAAAGTGGCGCAAGACCCCGATAGAGGTCAACGTGCTGACCCCGAACGTTCAGACCCGATACCTCGACATTCCGAGGCTCATCGAAATAGAGAGGGCGGTGCGTCAGTTGTTCAAGGGCGTGACGTGCGGGCAGGACGACGAGGGACGGGCGTGGCGGTATCATCTGACGGCGGTCACCCGTATAAACTCAACGCAACTGCGGTGCGGTTGGATTAACGCTAAAATAGAGTTTGAAACCATTAAAACATTGTAAACGATATGAGCAACAAAGTCAGCGGAATTGACATCCTCAAACTTTGGCACTTCGACCCTACCGCAGTGTCGGCAGACCTCACACCCGAGGCGCTTGCCACACTCCTCAAGGGCGAGAAAGTCACTGAGGTCAAGAACGTGCATCAGGACACTTGGAACATTGAGGAGGGCGAGGCATCGCAGGACTCCTACAAGAACCAACTTACGGGCTCGGTGTACCGAATGGGCGCAAAGACTATGGGCGACATCACAATCGCCTTCACAATCGGCCAGTACGACTACGAGACCAAGCAGTTGCTCCTCGGCGGCGACCTTATCAAGGACGGCGAGGACAACGTGGTGGGTTGGAAACGTGCAAGGGGAATCGTCGAAATCAAGAGGGGCGTAATCGCCCTCACCGAGGACGGCGTTTACATCGTCGCCCCTTACTGCAACTTCTCCGCCCGTGAGCAGAACCAAGACGGCGCAATCGGTCTCGGCGTTTCCGCCACCGTGCTTGAGCCACTCTCCGAGGGTGTGCATCCCGAGTATTGGTTCGACGAGAGCGCCGTGAAGTTGTCATAACGGCGCACGGACAAGCAATTTTTTTTCAGTTTTAGCCAATAACCAACGACCACGACGGGGCGGTGCTACACAATCAGCGCCTCCCCGTCTTCTCGTTTTGTTTCCGCTGACTGAAACCAAACAACCGACAGACAGACCGACAGACAGAAAAAAAACATAAAAAACAAGCGAAATGAGCGACAAAGACACAATGGTCGGGGCAACCGACCGACTGACGGGAAACGATGCGCTGAACGGGGCGAAAATGGTGGCGCAGGCTATCCTTGGCGACTACCGCTTCGTTAGCCTCGGCGGAAGGATTTACACCATACCCTCCCCCACCATATACCGCCTCTCGGGGGCAATCAGACACCTCAGCGACATCCACGACGGGAGCACAATCAAGGACGCACTGCGCACCATCGGCGATATGCGGAAATACGCCCTCGCCCTCTCCTGGCTCATCCAAGGCGATGAGAGCCTCGCCGACGACATAGAGAGAACCGCAACCCCCGCCGAGGCGGTCAACGCCGTGGAGACCGCCCTCACCCTCATTGACATAGCGGTTTTTCAAAAGGCTGTCACCTTACCCAAGTTCGTAGCAAAGTTGGCAGCAAACAGCACGAGGTAGTCGGGAACGAGACCCTCTTCGGACAAATCGCTACGTTTATGGAGAACCTCCACATATCATACCACGAATGCGTCCACGTCATACCATACAGAAACCTCCTCCTTATGCAGCACGACAAGGCACGGGTGCTTATGGACGACGAATACGCCGTCCGCCACGGAAACGGACGGGATATGATGCGCCGACGTATGGCTATGTACAGCCAAAATGACCCCAACAGCCATAACACCCCGTAAATCACCCACTTACTGATACTTTTTTATCGTTCCGCCAATTTTCAGCCTTTTTTATTTTATAAATTTTTTTTATACTATTGTTAAAAAATGTTAAAAATCAAAAGGTTGTGGCGGTGATTTTGTTAAAGTTTCTATCTTTGTAATGCGAAATTTAAATAATTTTTATTTAAAGTATAATGTACAACGCAAATAGCAAGACGACGGGAAAGGGAGGAAAGATACCCCCGAACGCACAATGGGCGCAGATGCAGGGCAAGAGCCACAAGGAGCACGACTGCCAAAAGGTGTGCGTGGGTTGGTTCTATGCCCAATACAAGACCACGCCGATAGCGAGGCTGTTGTTCACCATACCGAATCAGGCTATTGGAATGGGCGGTGGCTACGGCTTCGGCAACTATTTCAAGTCCGAGGGCGTGGTTGCGGGCGTTTCCGACCTCTTGTTCCTATATCCCGCCCGAGGCTACCACGGACTCGCCATTGAGTTCAAGACGGAGACGGGTCGTCAGTCGCAGGCGCAGAAGGATTGGCAGTCGGCGGTTGAGAATGTCGGCTACAAGTACGTCGTGGTGCGGAATTTCGACCAATTCTTCTATCTGATAAGGTTTTGGCTCGGTGAGATTGACGAGATACCCGAGAAGTTCCGCCAAAAGAAATGAAAATTTGATGATGTTTGAAACTTTCATTATATTAGGATTAGTTTAAATTGTGAATTTTTGATTTTTGGGCGTTTCCGATTGTATGTTTCGGGGATGCCTTTTTTGTGTCCGTACCTCTGCACGGAATTTGGGGAAGTAAAAAAAGAAACACCGGGCGGACGTTTCACAACGTGCTCGGTGTTATAAATAGAAAAGAAATATAAATGATGGGTTAAGTTAGTTAGACAGATTAACTAAGTGGTGAACAGCCTAATAAACATGGGTAACACCATAACGGGCGAAAAAGTCCCGAAAATATAGCAATACCAAACGAAATGAACACAACACAGACACAACCACTGCAGTGCGCCGACTGCCTTATGAGGGCGAGGGTCGGTGACTGCTTTGCGGACACTTTCGGAGTTCCGCAGCACTACTGCCCCCTAAAATATGGGTGGCAACACGCAAGCAAGGGCGCAATGAGCGTCTTCTGCGCCGATTCCGCCACGGCGTACATATTCGTACCCGACGGCGACCAATACCTGAAGGGTCAGATTGTCGGTGACTTCGGCGAGGCTGACAAATTGGAGGTCAGCATTCCGCTTGACTTCGTGAAAGCGAACCCCGACACGGCGATGCGAATGATAAACGCCGTAATCAAGGAGGGCGCAAAGGCTCTCGGGTGCCACATTCCGACAATATCGCAGACGCAGACCCCGACAGACGGCAAAGAGTTAAAGAATGTTAATTGGCTTGCAAAAGTCAAAAACTTGATTTATCTTTGCAGTATCAAAATTAAAAACGTATTTACTAACCGCTAACACATTTGAAAATGAGCGAAACAACAACACCACACATTCCGTGTGTCTACGAGGCTCTGACCCGTGTTCAGAACCGCCTTGTGTCGCCTAAGAAAGAAGCGAAGCAAGGTCTTAACTACAAGTACAAGACCCTCACCGATTTGAGGGAGAAACTGAAGCCTATCCTCATAGACGAGAAGTGCGCTTGCTGGCCGACAAAACGCATAGAGAACGGCTTTATGGTCTGCACCATCCATTTTGTCTGCTACAAGGACGGCTCGGAAATCACCACCGAGATTCCCGTTCAGCACGATATGCACCGTGGTATGTCCCCCGAGCAGTCGTCGGGTTGCGCATCCACATACGCCGAGAAGTATGGAATGATGAGCCTCTTCCTTGTTGACGACGACAGCGACAAGATAGACCCCGACTCGCCCGAGGCAAAAAACAAGCGAACCAACGACCTTCTTGCAGAAATCAGCCACGCAAACACGGATGCCGAGATTGACGCCTGCCTCAGCCGTGCCACCGCCGAGTTCGTTGACCCACAAGTCGGCGACATTCCGCCGATTTTCTACACGACCGCCGACGCACGTAGAAGCGCCCTTGTCCGTATGGCTCAGGAGGCGGTTGACAAGTTGGTAGGCATACAGAAGGCTCTTGACGCTTGCACCACCTTGGAGGAGGTCAACAACACAATGAAAAAGTATCCCGATATGTATTCCAACGCCGACTTCAAGTCAAAGGTATTGGCGGCACGTCAGAGGGTATCAGCAACCGCCTAAACACTTGCCCGAACCATTATGATGTTCTCATATCCCCAAGGCGGGCTTTCGTGGCTCACCGCCCGCCTCGGGATGATTACAAGCACCACCGCCCACGCCCTTATGACAAAGGCGAGGGGCAAGGGCGATGGTCTTTTGAGCAAGACCGCCGAGACCGAGTTGTTCCGCATCAAGGCGGAGCGGCATCTGTCCGACGACATAAAGGCAGACCCAAAGCCGTACTTCGACCGAATAGCCATTTCAAGCAAGGCGATGGATTTCGGCAAGGAAACAGAAAGCAAGGCTCGGGAGTTGTATGAGTTCGCCGAGGACTGCAAGGTGGGCGAGATAGGTTTCGCCACCCACAACACCGACGACGCATTGGCTGAGTATTGGGGCGACTCCCCCGACGGCATAGTGTTTGAGGAAGACGGCACGGGCGGTTGTCCCGACGGGTGCATTGAGATAAAATGCCCGACGAGCGCAAAGTGGATGGAATATTACACCCGTCTGACCCGTGGCGAGTCGCTTAAAGACATAGAGCCGAGGTATTATTGGCAGATATGCAACCACCTCGCCGTCTTGGGCGCAAAGTGGTGCGACTTCGTAATCTACGACCCGATGCTTGCGGAGGGTTACTACACGCAACGCTTCACCGCCGAGGCTTTGGCTGAGGACATTTCCGCCCTTACTGAGGCGGTTCGTGGGGCGGTTGAGTGGATAAAGTCGAACTGACCGACCGATATTTTCTTACTTTTAATAATCCATTTTACTTTTACGCCGACGGCTTGCGGATTTTTTTTCTGCCTGCCGTCGTTTTTTTTTGTTTAAAAAGTGTTAAAAAATTTGCAAAACACCGCCATTTGAATTATTTTTGCAGAGTCAAAATATCAAATGTGTGAGAGGAATGATACGGGAGCCTCGTTCGGTCTGAAATCAGAGGCTCTTTTTTAGTTTCTTTAACACTTTTTATTTGGATATTCGGCTTTTAGTATGTATCTTTGCCGTGTAAACAAACAGACAAAGGTGAACTGCTACCGCCGAAGTCAAAAATATTCGATAATTCCACCTTCGGGTGCTATTATAAAACCATAAACGTTTCAGAATGTCAGGTAGCAGTGACTTCTGAGGCGTTTTTTTTTATTTTAAAAATCTCAGATTATGGACAAGTTTAAGAAAATAAAGAAGTGCAACTTCACGCAAATCAGCAACGAGATGTTGCGGAATCCCGCACTTTCCGCCCAAGCGAAGGGCATTCTGTGTTTCTTTATGCAACTCCCGGAGGAGTGGCAGATACACATCCGAGAACTTACAAAACACTTCAACAACGGCGAGACTTCCATCCGTTCCGCAATCAGCGAACTTGTGGAGAACGGGTATATAAGAACCACCCGACAGCGCAACGACCGTGGTGTTTTTGAGAATACCCTTTGGGAGTACTCTGACACGCCCCTATTTAAGGGTGGAGGCACTACAAGCCATTCTAATCCACATCGTGATTTTCCACACGTGGATATTCCACACGTGGATAGTCCAGATGTGGACATTCCACATGTGGAAAACCGCACGGTATATAATACTGAAAAATTAAATACTGAATATGGAGTAAATACTGAATCTATATACCCCCCTAACCCCCCAAGGGGGGATTCGGGAAATTTTGAAAATTTCCCCGTTTCGCACGGCTCTTTTTCTGAAAATCCCGATGGTTCTTTTGAGGGTCAGATAGCCGACGGCATCCAAGTGTCGGACGGCAATCCGTACGGGGCGCAAGGCTCAAGCACCGCAATGCCCGCAAGGCACGACAACGCCGACCTTGAGGGTCTGGACCTTGAATGGGTCAACCCCTCACCCGTAAGCACCCCCGAGGATGTTGAAAAAAGAAAAAGTTCCGCCAAAAAGAAAAAAGATTTTGCGCCCGTACAGGGCAGTCTTTTCGGCGAGCCGATAAACAACACCACCCCCTCGGTGAAAGTGGCTGAAAAAGCCGAAAAAGGGGCAAAGAACGCCAAGGCATACGAAACCGCCCGTGAGTTCGTCAGACTTTGGAACGAAATGGCGGTTCAGAACGGCTACCCCAAGGTGACGGCACTCACCGACGGGAGGATAAGGGCGGTGAGCCGTGCAATCAAGGCGATAAAGGCGGAATGCGGGGGCGACAGCGTGGACATCACCGCCCTCTTCGGCAAAATCGCCAAGAGCGACTATCTGAAAGCCAACGCCCGAAACAGACAAGGCAACGGCAAGGGTACGTGGTTCGACTTCGACTGGGTTGTTGAGCCTCCCAAGCAGGGCGAGCCGATTTCAAACGCCGTGAAAATTTGGCTTGGTCGCTTTGACAACGCCCCGATGGTTCAGCAGACCGCCCCGACGGCTCAGAACGGCGCAAACGCCCCGAAAAACCGCAAACTCGGCGGTCTTGACCTTATGGCGGAGGCTATGAGGATTGCCGAGAGGATAGACAACGGCGAGATTCCGCAGATGCTTTCCGATATGGGGTGTGACATCTACAACACACAGACCGCCCCGACGGCTCAGAACGGCGGCGAGATACCGCCCCACATCCTTGAGGCGATAAGAATCTGCCAAAAGCCAACCAATACAACAAGCACAAGCACAAACAACACATACAAACAGATAGCAATAGCACAAAATGGAAACACTACAAGCACAAGCAACTACAGCCACACAGACAACACCCAAGCCAGCGCCATACTCGCTCAGACCATATCAGAGGGAGGCAGTTACGAGGGCGGTGAGCCACTTCCGTTCTGACTCCAAGGCTAACGGCATCGAGGTTCTGCCCACGGGTTCGGGCAAGAGCCTCATCATCGCAAACATCGCCCTTGAACTTGACGAGCCAATCCTCGTGTTCCAACCCTCAAAGGAGATTTTGGAGCAGAACTTCAGCAAGTTGTCGGCGTACGGTCTTGTCCCTTGCTCCATCTATTCGGCAAGTGCGGGCAAGAAGGAACTCAATAGGGTGACTTTCATAACCATCGGCTCGGTCATCCGTCATTTGGACATCATAGCGGGATACCGCTATGCAATCATTGACGAGTGCCACTACGTCAACGCTAAGAACGACGAGACGATGTATAACCGCCTCATCACCACCCTCGGTCTGAAGGTCGTGGGTCTGACCGCCACCCCCTATCGTATGCACACCAACTCGTTCGGCTCGCAGTTGAAGTTCCTCACCCGTACCCGTCCCCGTCTTTTCTCCGAGGTTCTCTACGTGGTGCAGGTACGGGAGTTGCTTGAGCAGGGTTTCCTCGCACGGGTCAACTATTACTGCCCACAGATGCGGTTCAGCACCCAAAATCTGAAAGTAAACTCCACGGGCAACGACTACACAGACCAAAGCGTACTGAGCGAGTACAAGAGGTCGAATTTCTACGAGTCCATAGAGGAGATTATATTCCGACTTCTCAAGGTCAACAGACGGCGCATCCTTGTGTTCACCAAGTTCGTGGAGGAGGCTGAGTTGCTCGCCCGAAAGATACCGAGGGCGGCGATTGTCACGGGCGAGACCCCCAAGGTGGAGCGTGAGCGCATCCTCCGCAACTTCAAGGCGGGAATAATAGAGGTCGTCTGCAATGTCGGCGTCCTCACCACGGGTTTCGACTATCCCGAACTTGACACCGTGGTTATGGCTCGCCCCACCCGCTCCTTGTCGCTCTACTATCAGATTGTCGGTCGCGCCATCCGCCCGTTCAAGGGCAAGGAGGCGTGGTTCATTGACCTTTGCGGAACTTACCGACGCTTCGGCAAGGTGGAGAACCTTGAACTCCGCAACGACCGATACGGCTGGGCGGTTTACAATGCCGAGAACGGACGGCAACTCACCAACGTTGACCTCTCAGACGATTAGGGAATACAACGACTTTTAACACTCGGGAGGCGTTTCAGATACCCGCACCGCCTCCCCGTTAAAAGTTGTTAAAGTATTTTAAAAAACTTGCGTTCTCTGAATTTTTGCGACATTTTTGCGCCGTTGAAAATCCAAAGCACTATGACCGATACAATCATTCCAAACACAGATACAGACACTCGGCAGAAACAGACGGCGGTCACGCTCCCCGTCGCAAGCGTCCCGAGCAAGGGGCTCGTCGCCGTCGGGGGACAGAGGGTGAAAGCCGTCCCATCCACCAAGGGAATGAGCGCCTGCATCACCCTCGCCCATATCATCAAGGGCGAGAACACTGACTCGGGAACACTCACCGCCGAGATAACCGCAATCGCCGCCGAGGTGGAGCGCCGTGGTCTTGACATCAACGACGACGAGTTCAAGGTCGCCGTGGAGAACGGGGCGTGGGGCAGATACGGGGAATACTTCAAGGTTTCCCCGATAGTCGTCCTCCAATGGCTTGAAAGGTTCGCCCTTATACGAAACAAGGCGAGAAGCAAGGCGCAATACGCCGAGTACATTGAGCGCAAGAGCCAAGACAAGGCGGACGAGATGAAGAGGTCAGCCGAGGAATACGCCAAGTACATCAAGGACACCACGAACGCCGCCTTCATCCAATACAAGGACACCAAGACCCTCCCCGAGTGGTCTGACATCACCCTGATGCTCGTCTTCAGACACATCAAGAGCAAGGGGTTCATTCCAAAGGAGGTCGCCGAGTCCGTCACCGACATCAACCCGATACCGACCCTCGCAGGCAACAAGAAGGTCGGATACGTTGACCCCGACAGCACGGCGTGGCAGTCCAAGTTCCGAAAGGCGGAGTTGGATAGGCTCAACAGACAGAGTACCGCATACGCCGTCCGAATGAGAAAGATTATCACCGACGTCTTCGACGCTCTGATAACCCGAAAATAATTGGTCAGTAATTTGTTCATAATTTTGTTTAGTTAAAAGTTGTTAATTATTTGTATTTTCTCCGCTTTTGATATATCTTTGCAGTATCAAAAGCGGTTTTTTTTGATTGTTTGATATTGATTATACGTTTATTGATTGAGTATGTATGATAGGGGAACGCCTCACGGAACGGGGCGTTCTTTTCGCTTCTCAGACGGGCGTGTCGGCAATCAGAAAGACAGAAAAGACCGCAAGCAAATGAAAAAAAATGAACAGATTCAAAAACAAAATAATTAACTGCGAGTGTCTGAGCGGAATGTCGGGAATGCCCGACAAGTCGGTGGACTGCATAATCTGCGACTTGCCCTACGGCACGACCAACAACAAGTGGGATGCCGTCATTCCGTTCGACCTTCTGTGGGCTCAGTACAAGCGACTTCTCAAGCCGAGGGGCGCAGTCTGTCTGTTCGCTCAGATGCCTTTCGCCGCACAAGTGGTAGCGTCGAACTATCCCGACTTCAAGTATGAGTGGATATGGGAGAAGGACTTTGCGACGGGACATCTGAACGCCAACTGCGCACCGCTGAAAAAGCACGAGAATATCCTTGTGTTCTCGGAATACGCCGCCGCCCCTTGCGGTGACGACACCAAGCGGATGATTTACAACCCTCAGTTCAAGAGGGGCAAGGCGTACATCACCAAGCACGGCTCGGCTCAGAGCGACAACTACCGCAATCAGAGCCAAACGAAGACGGAGAACGACGGCACGACATACCGACCGACCGACATTCTCACGTTCCCCCACGAAAGCCGTGGGCGTTTCGTCTTTCACCCCACACAGAAACCCGTGGACTTGGTTCGCTATCTGATACGCACCTACACGGACGAGGGTATGGTGGTCTTGGACAACTGCATAGGCAGTGGCACTACCGCCGTCGCCTGCATAAGGGAGAAACGGCACTTCGTCGGCTTTGAACTCAACGGGGAATATTACAAGAAAGCCTCGGAGCGCATAGCCGTCGAAATGATGAGTCCCACTTTGTTTTAAACCAACAAAAAAAACGACAATATTATGACGATTAACGGTAAGGTTCACTGCTTGTTTGAGCAGAGCGGAACATTCAAAAAGGAATTTCAGAAACTCGGCTATGTGGCGGAGGATTATGATATTCAAGATAATTTTGGCGAAACTGACCACGTTTGCGACCTTTTCTCTGAAATTGAAAAAGCCTACGGGGGGGGGGTAAGTATCTTTGATTCAATGACTTGCGATGATTTGATTATTGCGTTTTTCCCGTGTATCAAATTCTGCGATATGAGTACCATAAATCTAATGCCCGACAGAATGATTAAAAGAGGAATTGACCCTCAAAGGGCGTTTGATATTGTGATAAAGCATCACCGCGAAAGAGATTTCTTTTGGTGTCTGTTGCAGAAAATGTTCTGTGTCGCTCAGACCCGAGGCTTGCGCCTTGTGTTTGAAAACCCGTGGAACGGCAACACATACCTTAAGCAGTCTTTCAGAAAACCCGACCTTGTTGATATGAACCGAATGACCCGTGGCGACTATTTTGTCAAGCCTACCGCCTATTGGTTTGTGAACTGCAAGCCGTCAGGCGGTTTTACTGAGCAAAATGACAAGGAAAGGCATAGGGTATGGAAGAAGACCAAAGCCATAGCGGATGATGTTCAACGGCGCTTGGGTGTGGTAGGATTCGCCAAGTCGTCGGCAAAATCGGGATTGTGTTCTGAGGAACGCTCGATGATTTCACCTGACTACGCAAGAAACTTTATTTGTGACAATATTTTGGGATTGTCGCAACAGATAGGACAACTACAAATAAATTTTAATATATGACGATTAACGGCACGGTCTTCTGCCTCTTTGAGCAATCGGGGACTTTCAAGAATGAGTTCCGCCGTTTAGGCTATGAGGCTTTGGACTACGACATACAGAACAACTACTTCCAAACGGACTACGTTGTGGACTTGTTCGGCGAGATTGAGAAGGCATACGCCGACAAGTTGTCAGTCTTCGACGATATGACCCCCGACGGCTTGGTTATGGCGTTCTTTCCGTGCATTTACTTCTGTGAAACGAACACGAAACTTTTCACGGGTACGGCGACGCAGTTCAGAAACTACACCAATATACAAAAGTTGGACTACGCCCTCAAGCGTTCCCGTCAGCGTCAGCGGATGTACGAGTTGCTCCTTATGCTTTGCACGATAGCGGAGCGCCGTGGATTGCGCCTCATCATTGAGAACCCGTACACCGAGCCACACTATCTGACGAACAACTTCCCGTACAAGCCAGCGGTGGTTGACAGAAACCGCCAACTTCGGGGCGACTACTACCGCAAGCCGACGCAGTTTTTCTACATCGGGTGCGAGCCGACATACGGCGAGTCGTATCAGACCCCCAAGGAGCGCAAGATAATCCGAAAGGCGGGGCGTGGAATTGAGCAGGGTATCTGCTCCGAGGAGCGTTCAATGATTGCCCCCGAGTACGCCCGCAACTTTATCTGCGACTTCATCATCGGCAAGGCTCAGACCCGTGCCGACGTTCAGACGACAATGAGATTTTAAAATGATAGACGGCTCGCCGTTCCACTTCACGAAGTGCCTCATTTGGGACAAGGTGAGCAAGATATGCGGGCGCTATTATATGGGGCAGTTTGAGTACGTCATCCTCATCCGAAAGGGGGCGGACAGACCCGTCAACGACTGCGGAATAGGCGACATCCTCCGCTTTCAGTCCCGAAAGACCAAGGACAGAAACGGGGACAACATCCACGACAGCGAGAAACCCGTCCCTCTGTTCCGCACCCTCATAAGGCAGAGCACTCAGCCGGGCGAGGTTGTCTTAGACCCGTTTATGGGCAGTGGCACAACGGCGGTGGCGGTGATTGCCGAGAAGCGTCACTTCTTGGGTTTTGAGATTAATCCCGAGTATTGGAACGTGGCAAACAAGCGGATTTCTGAAATAAAGTCGGATTTGACTTTGTTTTGATAGACGCTAAAACAAAAATCTTTTGTTAATAAATGTTAAACCATTTGCACAATCAAAATATTTGATTTATCTTTGCAGTATCAAAACAAAACAAGGATGCCCGACGGGTTTGATTTGATTTTGTTTTGATACTTTAGATTTCTACTATGTAGATGATGATAGGTACTTTGTTTTCTTTGGTTCGGGGGCGTAGCTCAGTTGGCAAGAGCATCTGCTTTGCAAGCAGAGGGTCGTGAGTTCGATTCTCACCGCCTCCACGCAGTTGTCGGTGTGGCTTAATAACCGACACGCAGACGCCACTTCGGTTTGTCAGCCGAATGACCCCAACGCCGACGGGTTGAGGGGTTAAAGATGATGGACGCCATTGAGTGCCACGGCTTCTCCTTGGGTTCGGGTTCGGGCGTTATGCGCACCTTGTGGTGTAGAAAGGTCAAGGGGCGACGACAAGTCTACTTGTAAACCACACAAAACGCACCGCCTTTCAATTTCAATTATATTGAGATTTATTGTTTTCGGGTGGTGCGTTTCTTTTAAAAAAATAGGTTGTTTCTTTCAGACCCAAGTAGCCGTCCTCGGGCGGTGAGTGGTGAAGGGCGGTTCGATTCCGTTCTTGGGTACAATCCACCAAGCGCAGGCGTGAGGGATGCGCCACGGCGTGAGGTTCACAGCCCCTTCGGGGCGGGTTCAGTTCGGAGTCGGTTAATCCCACCCGACATATTCCAAAGCGTCCAAACGGCGTACGACGGGCGGACGTTTTTTTTTTAAAACATTGCGGAGTGGAGAAGGGCGGTCTTTTAATTGAACCTTTTGGAATTGAAACAGAGAACGCATTAAAGGGGTTCGAGTCCCGCCCCCGCTACAAATTTTATTCATAACTTTATTTTTTTTGGGTGAAACTTCATTTTATTTGTCCCCGTCAGACTTTGACGGGTTTTTTTATTAACTTATTACACCCCCATAGTTCAATGGTGGAACGTCCGACTTTGGCTCGGAAGGCTACGGGTTCGAATCCCGTTGGGGGCGCAAATGCTAACACCAAGGCGAAAAAATGATA